AGTCTGGGTTTTGGCAGGCTGAAAACACCATCCTGCCTCTAGGAGGGAAAATTAGTCTCTCATATTAAGTAGCTTATGAACCAACATTAATCATGAATCAAACCCATTACAGTAGTATAAATTCCATTAATTATTTTATCATCTAGTTCTGTTTTAATTTCTTTGTCTATAACATCCATAATCAATAAAATACACAATAGCCCTAAGATGTTTCCACTATCATGACTCCAGAATACAAATATTTAAAATAAGTGTTAATGCCTTAAAACTCATAGCATGAAAATTACCACAGTTGGGCACATCAAAGTTGAACAAATTATTTCCTCCTTTCCAAATACACAGTGGTATTAGGAGTATATTTCTACTATTTTCTTTTTAGAAAATCTAGGCTTTTGACAAAAATAATTCCTAATATTGACCATCAGCAGCCAGGAGGTGGTACATCATACTATACAGAGTGAGGAAGATACAGCTGTGATTTTTTTTTCCTTCCTTTGCAAGTGTAAAGCAGGATAGGAATGCATTATTCAGCAGTGAAATTCAGAATTAGTATAATTGAGGTGAAATGCCAGTGGAATCAAGACAAATGAGTCCTTCTCATTGCAGTATGAGATTTGTCCTATAGCTTTAGGTCTTCATGGAAATTTAACCATTTGTCTAGTCTCCTTATTCCTCAGATACAGCAGCCAGCATTTCCATGAGATTATTTAAATGCAGAATTATTAGAAAAGTTTGCAGCTACAGAGATAGATGGGTTTTACATAAAATGCCTGCTCTTTGTAGCAACCCAGTGTGATATTGAGAAAGATAATGGTCAGAAAGTATATTGCCAGGCTCCTAATGAGAAACTGTTGACAGTAGAATTACCCCAACATTCATCAAAAAGCCAATAAATGTCAAGCAAGAGGCCTTTGATGCAGTAGCTCATAATTCCTGTTCAGAAGCCTTTGCAGTCACTTCAGGGCACTCCATTATTCTGCATTTCTGCTGATTTTACCAAAACTTTGTTGCTGAAGAAATACATGGAGCAGGTGTCAGCATTCTGAGTGACACTGCTACAGTGCCACAGGCTCACCGTGAGACCTCAGGCACAGCACATTTGGCCTCAATTTTCCCATCTGCAATGCAGGAATGACAGTAAGGAATGACCCAGAGGCAATTCTGTGAAGGACATGGTGCTGCCATCCAAATGCTCAGAAATCATGACCTACATGGTAAAAACTGATGCTGACTCCTGCCAAGGAGGTAGTCATGTATTTTTAATGTTAACTACGTCCAGCTTTTTGGGACTTTGTAGGAGATATTTTCAAGCTCTCTCCTCCACAGCTACAGATTACTTCAAACCAACCCAAAACTAATTCTTACCCAGGCTGCTGAATTCTGGGTTGGGTGGCCTTAAGGAAACTCCATGAAGTTTATATAAAAGTTTATATAAACTGTTCTTGGGCTCTGTGGAGCACAGAGGGTATAAATACCTTGCCCATTACCCAAGTTCTCTGTTTAACTTTACTTTCCAGTACATATTCCCCAAGTGATGCAGTAAGGCAGGTCATTGCCTGGTCCGTGAATTGGGAATAATCTTGTGCGATGTGTTGTCGCTGCTCCCTGGCTTTTCATTTGCCTTGCCTTCATATTCCCCTCATAAGGGGAGCCTGAAGCTATATCACAAGTGATAAGATCATATCTTCTAGATTTTGCCTTTGTATCTTTACTAAAATTTCCAGGTAAAGGCTCAAAGCCATTCCTCTAAGGTGTCCATGGACTCTGAGGCAGTTTATTCCATTCATGCTGGCAATTCCTTGCTTGCATACCACGACTGGTTTCCATTCCAGCTGTTCCTGTATATATGGATCGAAAATGTGTCCCTGTTGGTCATTTCCAAGGATAAGCTGCATCCTAGGGGCTGTATGCAGATGGAGTTGCACTTAGTTTCCAGAGCCACATGCTGTTAGGGTGACTTGAAACTAGGCTAATTACCTGGCAGACTTTGCTGCAGAGAGATTCTTTAATAAAAATGGAAGGGGTGACAAGGGATAGGCTCCTTGCTATTTTGGGACAAACTCTTCCCTCAGGCAGCAGATAACCATGGTGGTAAGACTCCTAATCTATCATTTGGTTTGCTTTTTCTTGGCAGTAGTACTTAATTAACAGTTCTAGAACTGCTCTGTTTCCCAGGAATAGACTGTAAATCCATTAAATTAAACAATAAGGGCAGATGTGGGCAAAAATAAAAAGCCCATGCAAGTCAGAAATGAAAAATTAAGTTGTTCTGTCAGTCTTCAGGGGCCAGCATGAGAGTGTTATAAAACCTTCTGAAGCTTTTCTGTCTAGTGTTCAAGTAAGAGGGAAATGTTCCTGTGGATGCCTACATTTTTAGAACTGATGATTGCTAATTAAAAAAGCACTACTGACAGGACAAAGCAGAGTAGTTTGAAACTGAAAAAGGGATAGATTTATTTAGATTGGATATTAGGAAGAAATTCTTTAATTTGAGGGTGGTGAGACACTGGAACAGTTTCTCAGAGAAGCTGTGGATGCCCCATCCCTGAAAGTGTTCAAGGACACCCTGAATGGGGCTCTGGGCAACCTGATCTAGTGGAAGGTGTTTCTGCCATGGGGTTGGAATTAGATGGTCTTTAAGGTCCCTTCCAACCCAAACCACTCTAGGATGATCCTGTGATTCTATAATTACATCATTACTTCACTACATGAAACAGTACAAATACTGTGAAAACTGAGTTAAAACAAAAATATATTTTCTCTTCAAGATGTGAATGGAGTTAATAATGCCAAACCCTATCTTGTATAGATGGCAATGAACTACAGAAGAATTTCTGAATATCTGAAAAAACGTGCTTATCTAAACTGTCACTCATGCTTTAAGATGGTCAGTGAAACTATTTTATTACTGCAGTTAGCTGGAAAGGGCACTGTTCTGCAAAAATCAGATAATGTACTTATTTCTAAAAGCCTGGAACAAAAGAGCCAGTTGAGATTTGCTGAGTAGTTGCAAGATAGCCATTAAATATAAATATTTTTTAAAACAATTTACTCTTTCCTAATGCTTTTAGAGCAGCTTGTGGGAACAGAGTCTAAGTGCATCTTACTGTACTGGAAAGGACATGATGAAGGTTATTGGGCTCCAGATTTAACTCTTCCATCTCACACTGGCTCGTAACAGTTTCTAACCTATATAAACTAAGTGCATTTGTAAAAACTTACACATCTTTCCTGGTGGTAACAATAAAAAATTCTATTTTTAAAACAGCTAGTGCCAGTGGTGCATATTTTTCACATTTAAAGTGAAACAGTTTAGTGTTGAATTGAAGTTTCCATTCTTAAAATTAAAACTTGCAGCAGAAATGAAAATTTTGTTCTTTTGAACCTGTAGATGGCAAAGGGACTTGCTATGTAGAGCTGTATAATTGATATTTCCACATATGGAGTTTCAGTAGCCATAGGTAGGATTAATTTGATCTAAATTGCAACGTCCAAGTCTGCACCAAGCCCTTTAGGCTGCTTCTACTGTTAACAAAGGAAAAAGGCCCATCCATACTGTGATTCACGTGGTCTTGCTTAGATGTCTATTGAAGGATGAAATGGATGAGCCCTCATGATTTGGCTATGCAGAACTTCAGAAAAATGTATTTGCTGGGAGGTCATCCCATGTTGATCACCATAGATTGATACCAAGGCTCCTTTCATCCAGTACTGCTACCAATAACATATCCTCAGCAAATCTGCAAATTCTGCAAAACTGGGGCAATGGTTGACACCCCAAATGGCCTGGCTTCAAGCCAAACCAACCATGATCCAAGGAGAAATACAAGTTTCTTCACCTGGGAAGAATAACCAGTACAGGATACCAGTACAGGTGGGGAATAGACTGGCAGGGCACAGTCCTGCTGGAAATGGGCTCACAGGGGATGCCTGGCTGAATCCAAGCCAGCAGTGCACTCTCATCACAGAGCAGACAAAACACACACTGAACACTACTCACAGACCAGCACATGGAGGCCCTATTCTGCTCTCTGCTGCTCAAATGTGGTGAGACCATATTTAGGATACAGCCCAGTTTTGGCACACACAGCACAAAAGGGATGTGGAGAAAGTAGAACTGGTCCACTGGAGGGGTACAAAACTGGTTACCTAGACAACACGACCTAGAGGGAAGGTGGAGGAAGCAGGACTTGTCAGTCTGGCACAGAGAAATCTAAGTGTGGTCTACATGCAGCCTGTGACTGCTTGAAGAGAGTTACACAGATAATGGAGCTAAACTTTCTCAATAATGCCAAATGATGTAACAAAGGGGAATGGCCAGAAAATGCTGCTTCAAAGCTCAGACTAGACATGAATAAAAAATTCACCTGGAGGGTTGCAACTGATTACCCAGGGGAGCAGCTGAACCCCTTTTTTCTGGAAGTTATCAAGTCTTTAAATCCATGGCTGAACTGCTGCAGTGCTGGTAAAAGCCTAGCTTTGAGCACAAGGATGGACTTCCCAACTAACAGACCTGCCTGAAAAGTACAGCTGGGGCAAGACACTGCCTTTCACCCCAACCCATGCTCATCCTCCCTGGAGTCAACAAAACTCCCTAGAGCTGGGACAAGTGCTTGAACTGATGGTGGAAAATCAGGATTTGTGGAGGACACACTGCTGACACATACAGTTCACAGGAAGGTATGAGGAGCAACAGTGTTGCAGGTTTCTGTCTGTAACACTTAAACCCTCCTGGAATCCATTATTACACACACTACCGCCATCTCTGGAATGTGTCCAAGCCCTTCAATTCTCTACTAATAACAATAAATAGCAATTCTCATCCAGATTTATTGAGGAGAGGTTCTGAACAAGGCGATCTGAGTTCTCTCTCAGCCCCTGTGACTCCCCTATGTAACCAGAGACACGTTAAACTGATTTTTGCAGCACAGAGTTACTTCTAAAACCACAGATTAAATTCACTGCTAGGAAAACACATTTTTTGTTCTTTTTCTTTGATTTTTCTTAACATTTATTACATACTTAGAGTAAATTTATTGTGTCTGGCATTTGTAAGAAGAGAAATTTAACTTTCAGTAAGAATAAAAATATAGTTCCCAAAGGCAACTGTATGAAGAATCATAAGGCACAGCTAAGATTTGTTCAGAGACAGGACTCATTTCTTCTCCTCCTGAGAGTGTGTCCAGACAGGCTTACGCTTCTGAACAAAGGCTTCAATGCCTTCCTGCCCATCTCTCAAAGTCAAATTATCTACCATGACCTTAGTAGTTATTTTGTAAGCAGTGTCAAGGTCCTGGGTTATCTGCCTGTAAAAGGTGGCTTTCCCCAAGGCCAGGACAGATTTGCTGCTGTCACATATCTTCTGAGATATTTTCATGGTCTCTTCTTCCAGCTTGTCTTCTGGTACCACCTTGCTGACAAGCCCGTGCATTAACGCTTCATGGGCAGAGAGAGGTTCACCCGTGAAAAGCATCTCCAGCGCCACCTGAACAGGGAAAAATACTGTATTAAATCAACCCAACTGCCTCAGTGTTTTGCTTCGTTTGGGAAATTTCAGCCTCCTCCTTCAAGTGCAAGTTACTCTTTTCACAAATGATTTAAATCTTTTGGTCTTTTAAACTGCCATGGACCTATTAAGAGATGTCAGCAAAGAGAAAGACTGGGTCTAAAGCTGGTCTCTTCAAACCCGCCCAGTGATTCCAGCTGTTTTAGGATGACACCCCTGGGTTTCTCTTCAATAGCTCACAATGTCCAGTGATTGCTGTAGGAATTAAAAGGTGGATCATCTACAAAGTCAAATGACTGAGCTTGGTATTTTAAGATGGGCATATGTGCAGTTTTTGAAAACACCCATCCTAGTTTTAAGTTTAGTATGAGTGGTTTTAAATATGGACTTTTTATAGCCACATTATTTCAGTCTCCTGCTGCTTTCAGCATCTGGTGCTTGAGGTTTGAAACTAAAAAATCCCTGAAATAATCAGTGACTATTCAATATTATGTATCAATAAAGATTGTTTTCCAAGACTCCTGATGCAATTGACCAATGCCTGAATCATAAAAGCTGATTATCCTCATTAGCATCTTTGCTCTGGTAGTTACAAACAATGGCAACACTTCTTTTGTTAAAATGTAAAAATCAGCAATCCTGGGAACTGTAGGGAATGTTCTTATGGCTTTGAAAAGTGGCACAGAGAAAAGTGTATCCCACACATTTTAAAAAGGTAGTTCTACAGCCCAGAAATACTAATTCAGAAACAGCTACAACTGCACACAAGAGCAGACTTGGAAAAATCCCCCATGGACTCTATTTGAACAGGATGTCCCTGCAGATGGGAAATTTCAAGCTGAAGCTCTTATCCAGCAATGGGATGTGTGCAGTTCAGTCACTGCATCTCAGCAGAGCCCTGCTGTGCTTAGACCATCTGTCTGCATGAATCCAACTGGATCAGAACTTAAAACTTCTATTCTCAGTTATAGAAGCTTTATATATTGTACTATTTTTTATGCTGTGAGAGATGTGCAGCCACAATCAGTAGGACATAAAACAGGAGGGTTTTGGATGCTATTTAAAGCATCTTGATCTACAGCCAGGCAGATCCTGCTGGCAGTGAAATGTCATTGCCTGGCAAGAATTGATGCCTCGGTGGGATTGTTATCCTGAACTTGCAGGGGTTTCCTCCTCAGGGGATAACATCATTGGCTGAAGCCCTGAGCTGTCTGTTGGAAAGGAAAGGGATTGCTGAGCTGGTGTGCTGCTGGGATGAGCTCATGCTGGTTGGAGTCACATCAGTAGGAAGCCGTCTTTCCTAAACAAGAGCTCACCCTTTATTAAGAGTTATGGAGATGCCTTTTGAAATGAAGTATTTTGAATGTTGCACCGCAGGAAAACAAAGTTCAGGCAATGGAACTAAAATTCCTAACATGGGAACCAACTTTTTGCCAAATTATGAAGAATATCTGGAAAGGAAGCTTACCTTTCTTGGAAGAGATCTGCCCAAGGCCACACCTGGTGTGGAGCAGAACAGCCCAATGTTTACTCCAGGAGTAGCAAACTGAGATTTCTCACTTGCCACTGCGATGTCACAGCTTGCCACGAGCTGGCAGCCGGCTGCTGTAGCCAAGCCGTTTACTTTGGCTATCACTGGCACTGGAAGTTTCTGGATTAAAGTCATAACCTGCACGCACAAAAGACAGTGGTCAGTATGGAAATTCAGATTACCATCCTGTTTTGGAAGTCATCAAAAGAAGTACCTTCCTCTCTATTTACCAAAAAAACGCAAACTGTTGGATCTTGGCTCCTTTCAGATGAAAGGATGATGAAGGGCCAGCAGCTTTTACACATGGCTTTTAGAGCATTCCTTAAATATGGGTTCGGCAATGTCTTAGACATCATTATTACTGGAGGAACTAGAGCAAAAGGTTTCAAAGTACTCACTGTTGTCACACTGAGGAGGATTAGGGGTCAAATTCTAGCTCCACCACTATCAAAGGGGATTTTGCCATTCTCTCCAAAGGCTCCAGGATTCACTTTAACTTCCCCACTGCCCTGATTTGTGTCTTTAACAAGAACTTGGACAACCAGTGAGTCAGATCTTACTTTCACACTGTCTACTTCATGTTTAAGCAGATCCTGAACTTTTAACTAAATAAATGCTGGGAAAGAACATTTGGTCATAAGTGATTTGAAGGTGGTTATCTCTAGACTTCTAGAAAAGACATTGCCCAAATACTCAGCTGCAATGAAGACTGGCTAAACTAAGGAACACACTCTGACTGTGCCCATTGTTGAAGACATACACATTTGCATTCTAGCTCTTCTAATTACACATAGAGAAATCCAGGGAAAACATAATTTCACCAGAATCAGGCATTAAATATCAGAGCAGAAAAAATCAAGGAATCTGAAGGAACTATCTGTGCTTTAGCAAGCAGTCCCTCCTTAAACCAACACTTGCTCTTAACACCAGGCAAAGGCAGAGCATTCAAGAAGAACTGCTTACCTCTGCACATAATTCAAATACTTGGGAATGATGTTTCACATCATCTTCACTTGACAGTTCCTTTAAATCATGGCCAGAACAAAATACAGGTCCTTCAGCTGCAAAGAATTTCATGAAAAGTCAGTCTAAAATAATAAAGAAATCAGGGGCTGCAACATATCAGTGTCTCAGCTAAAGGGATGTCAGTGTTCAAAAATGAGTTTGGGGATGGAGTTTTGAACACAATTCCAAAATACTGCCTTCTGTGTTTTGTGGTAACTTTAAACTGCTGCAATGCAACATTTAAGCACAGTAACACCCATTATCAATTTTCAAGGTCTCATTTTACTTCATTACACTTAACTCAGTTACAAAGAATGTATTTCACACCTCTGAGCTCAGTTTTGCATAAGGATGTTCAAAACAGCTCCTTGGTACAACACAAACTTATCAGCTGGAGCAAGGCTAGAGTGCTCTGTTCTCAGACTGATAAATATACTTAGTCCCTATTTATTGTACCCAGAATTAATTATTAACATTTGCTAAAGAAGCATCAATATTTTTTCTGTCATGGTGTTGAAGGTCACAATGGAAAAAGAAAAAAAAAAAAAAAGTTTATTCTGCTATAGGAGAACCAGAAGAGTCGTTGGAGTGTCTTCTGCACTACTAAATTGTCATCTAGAGAATCCCCAAAAACACATTCAGGGTTTGGGCAGCAAAAGAGGAGGTTTCTGTGGAACTAAACTTTGGATTTGCTAAGATCAGAACACTCTATACAGGTACACAATGTTTACAACCGTTTTCCTTTGTCATGTGACTACCTGCCATTTGAATGAACCAGTGTTATGCTTCCCAATCCTTCAGAACTTCTCAGATATTTATGTATGGATGTGGCATTTCCAGCTACACCTATGCAAACCAAACCTTATCTATGTATTTGTTTCTTATGAATTGGATTATTGAGATACAATGTATCCAGAAATAACCACACTACTGTCAGTCAACTCATGGGGTTGAGAATATATATCTGGAGATTAATGACATCTGCATTTGAACCTCACTGAAGAATCTGCTGCAAAGTCTGTGTTAAGGGCCCAAAGAATTCTCTGAGGAATCTTATATTTTCTGAAATTTCTTTTGCATTTTATTCTGCAGGGGAATTAGCAATAAACACGAACAAGCAATTTTTAAAAAACCAAATGCAATTGTGCTCACAAACTCCCAGAGCTTTCAAACTGTTCTCTGAAAGAAGAGCCTTCAGTGTTTTGCAAAATTTCTAAATGCTGTTTGAAATGAGGAATATGTATACCTAAACTCACCCCTGTGAAATCAGCTCTCTTCCACTCTCTGTGTGTGTGCCCTAACACACAGACTTTTCCCTATGTATAGGAAATAGCACGATCCTAAATTAATAAACCAATTTATCTGAGATGTTTGGAGTGGGGGCAGAGGAAGGTTATCTTAAAATAGCAGAGTAAAAAAGATAGCTTAACTACGGCTCAAGTTTCATCACCTTTAAGATGAAACAGCTTAATATGTAAGTGTAAGGAAACTAACAGGCTCTGAAAGAGGCTGTTTTACATCCGTGGGTCATGGGTGTCTGTGGTATTAATACTGTGGTCTATCCTTTACTGGAGTGTTTATAAAATAGTTCTGACAAACCATTGGCAACCATGAGGCTGATCCTGGCTTAGAGCAGAGAAACAGAGCACTTGATTTGCAGAAACTCTGTTTTTTACTACAGTATACCTGCCAACAGGGCAGCAAACGCCATCCTAGCTTTGCCTGTTCCTGCACAAAACCCCTGTGTGGGGATGTTAATGCTTTACTTTGATAACTCTTAGAACTCTTCTTTTTTTGTTTGGCTTTTGTTCTGTTTAAAGTATTCTTTACTTACACTCCTAAAAACAATTAACCTTAACCCTAAACTGGCGAGTGTAAACACCCTCATATCCCGACTAAAACGCTGATATTCTGAAACGTGTTAATGCTTAGACATGTTGGCTAAAACCAAAAGCGTAACAAAACCCCAGTCAGTCGTTAATGCTGGGTTAGAAATGAGGAATTAAGTACAGGAGAGGGGAAGCTGGGGTATACAGGAAGAGCGTAACAACGGAGGTCTGCCGGCCGCAGACAGCCGCAGGAGACCACGGGAGCATTAAGGAGACACACAGGTCCCTTCCCGCCCCGTTTCCTGTAGTTCCCAGCGAGGTTTGGGTTCCAGCTCCGCGTTCCCCGGTGTGCCCCCTGCCCGCCCGGCCGGGTGCCGCGGTACCCGCGATGACGATGACGCGGAGCTCCCGGCTCTTGACGTCGTGCAACAGGTCCCGCCGCAGGCTCTGCAGCATGGGCAGCGACAGCGCGTTCCGCCGCCGCGGGTTGTTCAGGACGATGGTGCTGCAAAACCCGTGAAACACAGCGGGGTTACGGTCACCGAGCTCCGAACGCGGCCGCGTCCCGGAGCCCCCGGCGCCTCCGCTCACCGCACGCCCCCCGCCTGCCGCCGCTCCGTCAGCGGCGCCGCCGGCGGGGCCTGCCCGGCTCCCGCGGCCGCGGCGCTGCTGAAGGCGGCCCTGAGGGGCCCCAGCAGCCGGCACAGCCGGGCCGCCATCGCTGAGGGCTCGGGGCGGAGCGGGCCGGGCGGGCGGAGCTCCGCGGCACCGGGGTTGGCAGCGCGGCCCAAGGCTGACCCCGGCCTGCATTCGATTAGGTTGGAAAAGAACGCGGAGATCATCGCGTCCTGCCTATGACCAAACACCACCTTGTCAATCAAACCATGGCACTGAGTGCCACCTCCGGCCTTTCCTTAAACAGCTCCAGGGACAGTGACTCCACCACCTCCCCGGGCAGCCCCAATGTCCATTCACTGTTTATGAAGAAATTCTTCCCAATGTGCAACTCAAGCCTCTCCTGTCACAGCTTAAGATCATGTCCTCTCGTCCTGTCGCTGGTTGTCTGGAATATGAGCCTGACCTCCGCCTGGCTACACCCTCTTGTCAGGGACTTTGAGGGAGCGATAAGGTCCCCCCGAGTGCCCTTTTCTCCAGGCTGAGCCCCCCAGCTCCCTCAGCTGCTCCTCTTCAGCCCTGTGCTCCAGCCCCTGCCCCAGCTCCATTGAACTTCCCTGGACACATTCAGCACCTCAGTGCCTTTCCTGAGTTGAGGAGCTAGAACTGGACACAGCACTCGAGGTGTGGCTCACCAGTGTCCACTTCCCTGGTGCTGCTGGACACATTATTCCTGGTACAGACCATCCACACAGAGCCTCCCTCGGTTTTGTTCTCAGACCTGACTCCTGGGTGGGCAGTGGTGTCATTAATGAGTAGCTGGGCTGTTGGAAAGCACTTAGAAATGTGATAATTTCTTCAGATTCTACTGAACACTTGCATCTGTGACCATGAGACAGAGATCAGGACTGTGCTGAGCAAGCTTGTCAGTGGCACTGGGGTGAGATCTGTCATGACAGACAGGACAGCAGTATTGTGCAGAGAAAATTACATCACTTTGAGGCCCAGAGTAACTGGCATGAGATGAAATTCATTTCTGCAGGGCTGCTTGGGACCTAAGAAGATCATAATTTATTCACTGGGAACTCATCATCTAGAAATTGTCATGGGAAAGGCCTTGTGTTTTCTAATAGGTTCTACAGAGTCAGTCTTTAGACTGACATTTATGTTCATATTATGCATTCAAGAAGAAAAGAAAGGCAAAAATTATTTTAAGAGGTGGTTTGGTGATTTTAAACTTCAAATAAAATTTTGAAATTCAGAGTATTTTGGGGACTTACAGGTACATTCACAGGTCATCTTGAATATTGCTTATGCTTCTGGTCACCTGTGTTCCAGAAGTCAAGCTAAAAGAGGGGCAGCCATGTGGGTGAAGCAGCTGGGGAACAATCTCATCTGCCAGGAGATGCTGACAGGCCAAAAGACCAAGCAGCCTTTTTCCACATGATACAGGTACCCTAAAATGGCATAGATTTATGTCCAACATATGCTCCTTGTAAATGTAAATCTGCTCCTGCTCCCTGATCTCCCTGTTCTTGGGAGTTGTTGCAAAGTATTTGTAGGTTCCCCGAGGTTTCATCAGTGTCTGTTGAACCCCTGCAGCCTTTTTGACTGTAGTGGCAATTGAGGCTTCTCAGTTGTGAGCATCAGCCTCACAAAAGAACCATTTGAATTTTGTGTTTAGTAATATATTTACTTACACAGATATTAACAGCTTAGTGTGGGGATGCACTTTCTGCTTACTGATTTTATGTTGCCTAACACAATGATCCCTCAGATCCCTGGGCTTTGTAGCTCTACAGTAAGAGGCACAGTGGGTTTATGTACATTTATGTACATTTTTCAGTGTTGAAGGTCACTGTCAGACCTGAGAGCTAATTCTGCTTTGGGCTTTCCTCACATGACCATTTTGTTTTTCTCAGGGTTGCTTGTACCTCATGGTCATTCACTGAAAAGTTCTCCCAAAATTTACTTTTAATATGCAATAAGAATTTGTAGAAAAGAAAAATTTAAAAATTTTCCCATTTAGAAGCAAATGAAACCATCTTATATAGATCTCAGCAGTTTCAAAGTCCCTATTTGGTGTGGCAAAGGCCAGCACACTGAAAACACACATGTGCTTGCTCTGGGAGGAGTTCCCAGTCCCCTGAAACTGACCACTGATCTCTTTCAAACTTGTGAATACCACCTGATTTTTTTTCTTCCAGTTCCTTCTATTTCTCCATCTGCTTGTCCCTTTTCTGTCCATCTCCAAGGAAAGAATATTTTTGTGGTTTTCTCCAAAAAGCTTATTTTTTACATAGCGTTTCCAGCACTCTGAAAATTCAGATCTTTTTAACTTTGATTGACAACCTCATATTTCCTTTCACACCCACCCCCATTACAGATTGTTTTTTGGCTGCAGCTTCCCCAATGCATTTAGCAGACCTGCTGCTGCCTTCTCTGAGAAAGTACTGAAAAAAAATTCCAATTTCAGGCAGATTTCCTTTTCATAGCATTTGCTAGCGACATTGTGGTTATGGCTGAGCTCACAGTTTCAACTGGAGACAGCCAGAAGCCAGGATGGCAAGTACCAGACGGGGCTTTTCTAACCTTTAGCTGTATCGATTCTCATAAAAAATAAAAAAGAAAATGACAAAGGACATGATGTGATTTCACCCTTAGATCATTCCAGAAACTATCAGGGTATCACATTGTGCAGGAAAAGATGTTGAGATTCAAGTGTGCTGTAAAGCCCTCTGTGCTCTCCATTGCGATGTTGCTAGATAGCATGCATGGACAATAAAGATACAGGAACCCTTCCTTTATGAAGCACAGGTATTTATTTGGGTCTTTATTTCCTTGGTTTTCAGCAAGCCCAGATGGGATATGAACCTTGCAGGAGCACCTGCTGCTATAAATAGCACATCCACACAGGGCAAAGGCAAACCTTGTTGGGATGCAATTGAAATGTAAAATACGTCCATATACATGTATGTAAATTAGTAAATTTATCTATAAAGACATTTCTATTAATTGGAATGCTATGATGAAAACTTGGGACTATTTTATGGAACACAAGGCAGGTATATCCTTAGCAGAGTTTCATGCAAATTATCTCTTGTCAAACACTGGCATTCCCAGAGGATCTTGTGACCTGATTTTCAGCACTGCTGAAGGCATTCAAATCCCACTGGGAGCCAGAGGGGTTTGGCACCTTTAGGACTCAAAAACTGCTTAATTCTGCTCAGGTGTGTAGTAGTTCCAGGAAAACAGGGAGAACAGGGTCCTGTTCTTTCACAAAGGCCAAGGAAAATCATTTATTTCCCTGCTTTGTAAATTCTGCTAGCAAAGAGATAGACTAGTACATCATGGTTTCTCTGATGTGGAACCCTCTAGGACTTACTAAAGAAAACATGAAAAAAGATTTTGCATTTTTGTTTCCATTTAGCAAGGATTCTGAGCTGAGTCCCAGCACTACAGGATGGGTGCTGTCTGTGTAACATTTTCATTGTATCCTTAGACAATTTATGTTTTCTGTATTGCTATTAGGACAGAAGTAGCACAGACACTTCAGGACAATTCTTAATTGTGCTGGGGTTCTCTAAGGGCATGAAACCTGTTTACTCTGTCCACACCTTGAATTCCCATGACTCTGCTACCAAACCTCCTTTGAGTCCTAGCCCTGGGTTTTTTTTTCTTTGAAAAGTCTGAGAAAGGTAATTTATAGATCAGCCTTCTCTTTATAGAGGCTCTAATTACTAATTATGATGTAGTAATTAAAAATCAGTTACAGGATCAATATATAGGAGACTATCAGAAATTTTAGCATGTACTTTAATAGAAAGTTGTATTTTTAACAAATACTGATCATTCTGCTAAAAGAAAGGATTTGAATCCAGTTTTAACTCCATGACTGCCATTGAGAATTTGCAGCAGCCTGTGAACCAGGCTAATCACCTGCCAGTCAGGCCCAGATCAGGTCCTTCCCTGGTAGTACTGCTGCCTCCTGCCTTTACGTTTAGCATTCCTTCAGCAAACAATCCAGTGCCCTATTTGCTCTTGACATTAAGCATAAACATAAAGCTCCCAGAGTCACTTCTGCTGCAATGTTTTGCAGTTACTGCTCAGAGCTGTTTCCCAGACACTGTGTGGCAGCACTGCTCCATGAAACGGGTTCTGCTTATTTTCCCTTCTGCTTGTGAACTCGGTGATCGACCAAAGCCCTTTTGTCACTACACCCATTCCTGCTCCTCTTCATTTCCTATCTTTCCCTTATCCTCCCCACACTCATCTTTTATCCTACACTATCTCACTGTTAAAGTGATTTATATTTCTCTAACGTTAACATTAATTTTTTTTTTTTGTATGTGAGATTCTCAAGATGTGAACAATGACCAGAATTATAAAATACATGAGGCTTGGAAAAAAGGTGATATTCATTCCTTCTGTCAGAGGATCTAACCTTAGCTTCCCAATTTAAATACTTAATCCTGCAAGGCTCCCTACACAATCAATAGAGATGTTGTCTCCTCCGCAGGGCTGAGCAGTGTCTAAATTAGCTGCCTGCTCCCAGTGCCTCTCCAGGCTCCTCCTGCTCTCCATTCATTGCACCAGTGTCGGGGTTTAACCCCAGCTGGTGACTCAGCCCCATGCAGCTGCTTGCTCACTTCCCCCAACAGGATCAGGGAGAGAGTCAGAAGAGTAAAACTGGGGAAAGTCATGGGTTGACATAAAGACAGTTCAATTGGTAAAGCAAAAACAGTGCATGCAGGCAAAGCCGAACAAGGAGTTCATTCCCCCCTTCCCATGGGTGGTCGGGTCTTCAGCCATCCCCAGGACAGCGGGGCTCTGCCAAACGTAACAGTGACTTGGGAAGACAAACGCCATTACTCAGAATGTCCCCCCTTTCTTCTCCAGTTTTACATGCCAGGCATGACCCCGTATGGTAGGGGTATCTCTGGGGTCAGTTGGGGTCAGCTGTCCTGGCTGTGTCCCCTCCCAACTCCTCGTGCACCCCTGGCCTCCTTACTGGTGGGGTGGGGCAAGGAGCACAAAAGGCTTTGATGGTGTGTAGGCCTTGCCCAATAATAACAAAAACATCCCTGATCTATCAACACTGATT